TAAAATGAAGTAAGATGCTATTAGAATATCACAAATCAAAATATTCACAACTATACTTATATTAGTAATGTTTTTACATGTATAGCCTATTATTTCCAGCCAACTCGACTAGGTTTTAGTATTACAATCGAACATACGAATCGTACAATATTATCAATGTCCAGTGGGAATGTGCCATTGACCACTTTGTCAATTCTAGATTTAAGGTGAATTTTATGTTGGACCTTTTGTCTAATACTACTAAGCTAAATACCAATTTATTTCAGTACAACAGTACATACGAGTGTACTATAGACTTTTTTTTTTGATTTTTCGGTCACTGAAACGTATTTATATTACATATTACTAAGGCGGCAAGGCCCAGACCATTTATTTTTTTACATATATTATCATCAGAGTTATTTTTCAATACATATTAAAATGAGAGTTATTTAAAAAATCAATGTAAAATTTTATGTATGATGACTGATATTAAAATATATGCAACTTTAATTCTATTTGAGTATCTCTTTACGTTTTCTATGCGTTATTTATGTAATTTTTATGTTTTATTTCTGAGCGCTGTAAAAATATTGATTTTTAATTTTTATGAGGCAAAGCTAATAATATTGCCTGTTTTTTCTTCAACTGATTATAAATTGTATATTTCAAATAGAATTCAGAATAGTCCATTGATTTCGATTGATATTTAATATTTATTATATTTCATACTAAGGTACTTATAAGTATTATAATTGATAAATTAATAAAGAAATGGATTTTGGGGTTGACGATAAATATTCTTTTTTTATAATATATTATTCAAGCCCGATTTAAGGAGGGGAGGAGTATGTAGCGACATGTCTATAACGGATATCAAACTACAATAGTGGGCCCCTGGCTGATAGTACACGTACCTACGTTTTTTTTTTATCTCTGAAATATATTTATTTGTAGGTCACCAATATTTTGATTATGGTTATGGGGGCCCCTATAATTGATTGAGCCCCGCGCCCAAAATTATCTTAGTCCGGGCTTGATATTATTGTTTTTGTGGCGACTTACAATAGTGTTAGTCCTCAAAATATAACGAACACACCCAAAACTGAAAACAGTATCTACCAACAATACTAAAATAAATTGCGCGAATATGCTGTAGATATTGTGAACATTTTGTGGTTATTATTTTTATCTTTTTATTCCTCCATTTTAAAACGCATATAATAATCTATACTATGCGCGCGACCGTATAATATAATAATATTCACGTTAACGGCTGAAATCTTGTTAATTCACTGAATTATTAATTATTATAATACTGTTTCTAAATCAACCGTCCATAACGTCAGCTGTATCGCTTCGGGACACCACAGGTACTTTTTACACTATCAATGTGTCGTACCTATTCTTTTATAATATGGGTAATAAATAATAATACATTATAACGTAGGTGAAAAGGATATCACTAAACCGCAGACCACGATCGCTCATTCTTCCGCCTATTCGTGTAATTTACACCACTCGTAAATAATTATCGTCAAGAAGACGTCGCACCCGCATGTTGTCTCCGTCTTACACACGCACGACATGGTAAATTTTCGTTCACCAATTTCAATAATGTGTTTTAGTTTTGATATTAGATTAGAATGAATTGACCGATTATCAAACTTTCAGATAAGAACATTATCTGGGTTCTCTCGTTGGTTTTTTACGGTATTTTAATCTTTAAGTAAGCTATGAGTATAAAAAATATAAATATTTGAAAATGCTCATCAAAATGCGGGTGCGCACTCATTTATGACGGGCTAAAGTTCGCCAAATGAACCGCTGTGTACCGCGATATTCAAATTTCGTAAACTCGTAACTCTATTTGAATCTAGGTAGGTACCTATAGTAGGACGCCCACAGCACGGCTGGTCACCGTTCGGGTGAGCGCGATTGGAACGAAATAAAGGTACAGACAGAAAACTGCACAAACCACACCGGCGAGTCAATTACAACGACCGGAGGGCTAACACCGCGCTCCATCTCCAGCAAACGGAGCTCAAACGCGACCCACCTGCACCTTAGTAAGCCCACCCAAAACTGCCCCAGGACTGGAGGGACCCCGGGGCATTAGTAAGACGCCTCCCCGCAAGACGGCTGCCACCGTCCGAGCGACGGCGTTTGGGCCAGAAACGGAGCACGGAAAGGAACGCCGCACAAGCTCCATCAACGGAGCGCCTCGGCTGGGTAACACTCAGGAGAAAGGAGAACAGAGGGAAAACTGGACAAACTAACAACGGTGAGCAGGCACCCCTAGAACAACCGAAGGAGGGAAGTCTCAGTACGGGACACGAGACCGACTGGCTATCAAGCCGGGCCGCAAAGACGATGAACGAATATCCTCGACTGGCGGGCAGCAAAGCCGGGTCAAGAATCTAACAATGCGAAATCGGGCCACAAGTCACAGTTTTTTTTTCAAATTTTGATTATATTCTTTTAAAGTTTTTATGTGCGCCCTTAGGGGATTTTCGGTGACTAAAATCTATTTATAAATGGTTCATGTGCGTCCTAAGGGACTTTTCGGCTTAAATATTATTTGTAAATTTATTTTCATTTAATAAACAAAAACGGCGTCGCGGAAATAATGCAAAAAGCAGTCCCCGCGGCGCCGTCGGTTCAAATAAAAGAAAAAAAAGATACCTATTAAACCGAATTCAACCTTCATCGTGAATCGTGATAATATAATGTTATGACTGTGTTTGTAGGTTTCACTGGGCCGTTGTGGCCGAAAACACAAATATTAATTATTGTTGTAAAAAATAGTTGTAGATATATTAAAATGACGACGTGCATATAAATGGTTCAAAATAAATTAAACATAAGGTATGTTTTTTTACAAAATTGAAAATAGATATCTGTTTATATAAGCCTGTGTCTATCTCAAACTAATACTTAAATTATTAAAAATTATATTTCAAACTTACAAATTATTTAAATAGATCACCTTCAAAAATAGTGTCCTTTAGCTTCAATACAGTGCTCCCAATGGTCTTGCCACTTTTTGAAACACCTTTGAATTTCTTCTATAGTTATAGCCTTTAGCTCTTGTATCGCGTTATGAATAGTTTCGTTAACGTCTTCAAATCTGTGGCCTTTGAGGGTACTTTTTAGTCTCGGAAACAAAAAAAAATCACAGGGAGCTAAGTCAGGTGAATATGGTGGGTGAGGTACCACTGGAATATTTTTAGATGTCAAAAATTCACGTACGGAAAGCGCAGAATGCGCCGGTGCATTGTCATGGTGCAAAAACCACGACTTTGATTTCCACGCTTCTGGTCTTTTACGGCGTACTTTCTCTCTTAATCTTTCTAGTACTTGTTTATAGAAAACTTGATTTACTGTCTGACCTGTAGGTACAAACTCATAATGGACTAAACCATAAAAATCAAAAAAAACAATGAGCATTGCTTTGATGTTTGACCGGACCTGACGACATTTTTTTGGACGAGGTGAATTTGAAGTCTTCCATTGCGATGATTGGAATTTGGTTTCGGGATCATATCCATACACCCATGTTTCATCGCCCGTAATTATTGATTTTATAAAACTTGGGTCATTAGAAACCCGATTTTTTAGATCCAAGCACACTTCAACGCGATGTTCCATTTACTTCTCGGTTAACAATTTTGGCACTAATTTTGCGGCACTCTTTTCATACCCAATTCATATCTGATAAAATCGAATGACAAGTACCAATTGATATGCCAATTTCATTGGCTAATTCTCTGACTGTTAATCTTCGGTCGTATTTAATTTTGTCTCGAACTAAAGTAATGGTATCAATTGTTTTTGATGTTGATGGACGCCCAGGACGATGATCATCTTCAATGAATATACGACCTTCTTTAAATCGTTTGAACCAGTCAAAAGTAACACAACGGCTTAGTGCAACATCTCCAAAAGCCAATTTTATCAATTCAAAAGTTTCCGTCGCATTTTTCCACATTTTGAAACAAAATTTAATACACGCGCGTTGCTCAGAAATATTATCCATCGTGAAATCGCGATTTTTACAAAACGACCAACTTTGAACGCGCACTGTCGATGACTGATTTGAGATAATGATTATTATTATATACTGAAATAATGGTCATTATCTCTAGTTTATTTTGGTATAACAACATTATCGATAACATTAAATATTTTTCTGCAATAATTTTAGTTTGGGTATTTATTGAACACACCTCGTAAATGTATAAACTTGTAAAGAATATGTTTTTAATAATTAGCAGTTTAAAGAAAAATACAAATCTTCAGTCTCATCAATATTCAATAGACAATGTGACACCATACCATTCTATACCATAGAGTTCATTATTCTGTGATAGTAAAGTTTAGATATCTATGATTAAAATACAGAAAATTTTATATCATTACCTACCATATTAAACTCAAATTCTTGATTTTAAAATTTAAACCAAAATTATACGTTTTTTGCTAAAAATATTATTTTATAAATATCAAATCAAATATTGTTTTCACCATTTATACATTGTAATTTATACTACAAGTCATTATTTACAACCCAAAAAAAAAAAAAAAAAAAAAAAAACAAATCATTTTTGTTAAGACTAAATATATTTATATATTTATAAATTTAAGTATTATTTTAGATGTATCAAACACATATCTTTGCTACCAAAAAAAATGTATAGTGTACCAAAAGTTCCACTTATTATCTCATAGAGACGCCTGTAGTCCAAGAATATATGGTATCCCTTCATAAATAAATTTGGTGCGCTCTCTCTTGACTATAAAGAACTGTTGCCTAAATTGTTATTAGTGTTTTTTAATCAGAAAACGTTTAAAAATGCATTACATCTTTTAATTGATGCACAGAAATTCAAGAAATATTAAAAAATACCACATTTATTTTTTCTTATAAAAACAAGAAAATATAGATTATAACAGTTTCAATAAAAAAAAATAACATTAAAAATAAAAAACCGATTAAAATTTACACAACCAACAAAAAATAAATAAATATGTACAATACTTTATTAATATGTCTCAACTCTCAACCATTTTGAATAAAATTATTAAATTTAATCAAGTATTACTGGTACTATATCAATTTCATAATGATAACATTCGGGGCATTCAAATTTGTCATCAACCATTCTCATCGACTGTAATAATAATAAATTATAATTTAAGAAGAAAATATTAATTATTTTTCAACTTACACTTATACAGTAGAAACAAAACACATGAGAACATTTAATATGATGTGGTAACACAGGTTTTTCTTGACAAATACTACACACCGTCCTAGCACATATAAATGGCATTTTTGCAATCCATTTTTCGTTATTACGCTGTGAATTTGAATGCATTAATCTGAATATTTTATGTTTTAAAGACTGATAATTTATCAGAGGCAATGTGAATAACAACAGCTCCTAGAAATTTATAAACACAATTTATATGTTACAATTTTAATTAGTAATAACTTAAATAAACTTGTGAAACCTAAATCAAAGATAAAAATATATAATACAAATAGTTTACAAATCAATTGTGTTTAAGGATTGTAATTTATTTTTAAACCACAATTAAAAATTATAAATATAAAAAAAATAAATGTTTGGGAGTGACTTTAAAAAGTTTGCTTAAACAATAATTTATGAATTTATTAAAAATAATTAACTATTAAGTTTTATTTTTAAATGGTTGTCAACACAATATTTGTTATTTTTTTCTAACACAAATAAAAATTACTCATTGAAATTCATATTTTGTAGCCAAATTTTTCAGATTAGTTAAAATTGTACATTATACTATATATTAAACATCATTATACATATTATTACAAAAACTATTGAAGGAATGTCTATAATAGTTAAACTAAGAACAATATTTTTTGAATATTTTATGTTTTGATTATAACTAATATTATTGAAGTTGACAATAAATTAATACTTATAGTTTCTTTAATCATTTAAGTTTTGAAAAATGAGCACAAGACTAATACTTTTCTAGACTATTTATACTAGTAAATAATTTAACTATAAATGATTAATTAGAATATTTTAGCTACAAAATTAAGAATAATATTGTTGTATGTAACACACAAAAACAACAAATGTTACAATTGCTTGATTCCTATAATAAAATTTAATCTCAAACAAAAATGTAAAATGTTATTTTTATCATATTTCAAAAAAAAATATACATATAAATAGAATTGTATGCATTTGAAACTCATTTGTAACTTGCCATTTGAAAAACATAGAAAAAAACATACAAATGCATTGAAGTCTGAGGAGTACTAAAAACTAATAAATTATAATAAAACTTATTGAATTACATTAGTTTAATATTTTGCTATAAAAAATTTAATCTAACTATTGTTAATGTCAGTCAGGCACGGCGCCAAGAGGGGGCAAGGTGGGGCTCTAGCCCCCTCCAGAAAACAATTCAGCCCCTTCGCCAGTCCCCCTACTAAAAATATATACAATATAATAAAGTTATAAAACATTATTTTTAAAAGAGCTATATCAGAGAATTTATGAAATATACTTTTTAAAAATTAGTAATATTATGTTAATACTTTCTTATTTTTGAAGATGTGTTTTAAATTTTTGCTGTTATAAAAACCGATTTAATAATATTAATATTTTATATACAAAATTCGAAGAATATTATTGACTAAATTTAATGTTTGTTGTATACAAGTAAAAATATTTTTAGTTTACTTATTATTTTTAATATGTTTAATTAATACATTAATATTGTGTAAGAAGTTACTTAATAATTAATTTCAACAAAAAATACAAAGTAAATTCTTTAATACATAATATACTATACAAATACAAATTTAAAAATGTATTGAACTAAAAACTTGAAATTTACTAGTTTTATAATATTATTAAGTAGGTAATCACAAATTTTTATTTAAAAAAATATTATTCCTACTGGTATTGATACAATTTTATACATTTTTGTTAACTATTTTAACATTTTAAGATTTTCAATCATTTACTGTTTGGTGCATAAACAGATATTGTGTAAAATATCAATATTCAGTTTATTTAATATATTTGTCACTACTAAATAAATTGAATTTAGTATAGATTATAATAATTTAATTAATGAAGTTTGAACAAATAACATCCTCAGTCTTTTTACGGTGGATTAACCTACTAGTATTATCTAATAAGTGAAAAATCTACAACAATTTTAATAAAATATGTTTTGAAATTTGTAAAATAAGAAAAAAATCTTAGCCCATATAAAAAAAATATTTGCCCCGCTCTGCCCCTCCTGAAAAAAAATTCTAGTGCCGTGCTTGGTGTCAGTTAAATATTTATATATAATAAATTAGTAAACATCTTTGTAAATAAAACAAATAAGTTAGGTATAAATTATATAATATATAATACAAAACTTAAGTAGGTTATTTTAAGAAATATGATTCAAATTTAATATAAAACTGGTAATTAATTTAATCAAATCCCTAAGTTTCTAAGCTATACTTCTTTTTATACTAGATATTCAACATCATACTTCTAGTAATTTTGATTAAATATAACATTTAACTAATGTATTTATTTATAAAAATTAAAAATCTTAATATTATTAATAGTTGTTTTAAAAGTAAGGGTAGAAAATTATAAAATTTATTTCAAATTATAATTTAAATATATCAAAAAGAAAATATAGTTCACGATTTATGTGTTAAAATATTTTCACTAAAAAAATGCCAAACCAGTATATGTTGTCTCCGTTTTACATACATACAATGTAGCAAATTTGAATTCAGTAAAACTCATTATGAGTTAGCTTTAATATCAGAATGAATTTATGAATTAATTTATTATCAAAATTAAATGTTAACATATCATCTGTGCTTAAAGGAATTTTTTTAAACATTTTAATTTTTAACCTGAAAATTATCATTTTTATACATGATACAAGTAAATATTTATTTAGAGATGCAGACAATATCTTTTTTTTTTCAATTGATATTATGTATAATAATCAATATCAATATCAATATCAAATAAAAATATCAAAATTATTAACCATTTTCTTTTTAAACTCACAATTAACTTTTAATAAATTTATTACTTTATACTCTACCTACTCAATAATAAAAAAAAATCAAATAAATAAAATTGTAAAAATAATATGAAGGATGTTAACAAATATTTGGCTGGTTATATTGAACCAGCTGAATAACCTGGCTTTGCCTGTGTGTAGTTTATGCTTTCTCAAAATGACTGTAATGACGAATATAATTAAATTGTGAATAATAAATCACTAGTAGCAGTATTTGGTACAACCTTGTGAAAAAAATTGGAAAAATGTTAAGTGTTGTCATAAAACAAGAACATAAAAAAGGCCAGTTCATTTTATATAAACAGGGATAAAAATACAATTTCCCCCTTCCTCACCACTCAGGCAAAAAAAAAAAAAAAAAATAATAATAAATCAGGCGACGTGGTGACGCTCAGGAAGGTATTTTGAACAATTCTGTGGAAAAAATTTTAAATAGTGTTATCACAAAATGGGAACATAAAAAAGGTCTGTTCATTTATATAAATAAAAGGATAAATATTAAATAAAAGTTCTAATACATTTATATTAAAATTAATATTAATATTAATGTAATTAGTTAAATCAATATTAGAAAATGTGTTGGGTATCAAATTAAAACATAAATATTGTTCTGCATCACTAAATATTAAAATAGATGTCTAACTTTTATTATTATGAATTATAATGAATGAATTACAGGGAATATGATACATACAGAAAAACCATGCCATAACAGTTCTCTTGTCATATAAGTGTATTCAATATTTCTTTTGCGAGTTGACTCTTGTGGAAGACTTAAAAGCCTTTGAGTCAAAGTTGGGTACTTGCCTTGTTGCAGGAAAAACAAGAAATTCAAGAAAGATGCGGCTTTCAAAACATCGACAATTAAATGTAATACATTAACCTGAAATTTACAATCATTAGATATTTTTACAACCACACTGTACATGATACAATATGATTTACATTATTCAAAAAATTTTTTGAAGGACTTTCTATTTTTGATTGTATATACTCAGCTCCAACTGTAAACAGTTGAAACAGAGCTAACTTTGTATCAGTCAACTGGTCTGGTTTAAATCTAATCCCAAGCATTTGTTGACCAAATGTGGCTTTTGCTTTTGTCACAGAATACTAAAAAATAAAATTTATGTAAGATAAGCAATTAATAAATTAATCAAAATTTAATCAATTTTCACTCACATATGTCAATAAGAATTGTAATATTACATTTATTTCCAACTCGCAATTGTTTAAAATCCAGGACTGAAAAAAAATGTAATGAATTAAAATTTAGCATTAAAGAATCAAATGCATAAAAGTAAGAGTTTTCATAAAATAAAAATAAGATACTAATTATAATACAATAAATTATTACAAATGCATATTATAATATTTTAATTTTTAATTATACCTGTTTAAATTATTTTATCAAAATATGTTGTTTTACCAATTGATAAAAATAAATTAGATACTAACCGGTAAAAACTTAAAAACCTTTGAGGTTTGACCGATAAATATTTTGGAAATGTGATAATCGAGTATGTGAGCATCTAGCTAGAAAAAAAAAACAAAAATAAATGATTGAATTAAAATGCAGCCATGCATGTTCATTAATCAATGTTTAGAAAAAAAAGATAAAATTTGAATATTGAGTACAACTTTAGGTAGAGTAAAATTTGATAACTTGATTTATTCAAATGGCTGTTTAAAATTATACTTTAATAGTTACATTTTTTTTTTTTTAACTTACCAGAGTTACACGAGGTGCCATTTTGACAATCTGTTGAAACTGTGAACCTCAATCAATAGACAGTAAAAAAAAGTCAAGTGATTTGAGGACGACTAATCATTTAAAAATTCAGTGTCAACTGATTCAAAAGTAGACAAGAAATACATAATATTTTTAAGAAGCATCTCTAAATTGTACATTTTGCAACCTTAGAATCTGTAATTTCTTTTTCTATATTTAAAGTATTTGATCAGAGACTATTTATTTACGATAAATTAAAATAAATGATAATAATAAATATATATTTATAATTAATGAGCGGTGAGTACCGACCAAGAATTAGAATAATTACTATGTAATATAATATATGTAATATGTCAGTGGTTAAGAATTTAAGTAGACGATTTCTTACTCTAAACTACACGGACCATATGAAATTTGATTAAGCGGTGAAAACCCGTGAACTGAAAATGTGACAATTTAAAATATTAAGATTATAATTTATAATGTTTAGTAATAACTAATATAAAATACTAAATAATAAGTATGAACTATGAAAATAATGAATATTGAGAATTGAGATATTGAGAATATCTTAAATAGGCTTGATAACATTATCTTAAGCCATGTATCAGGTTCCGGAGAAAAGTAGTTGTTAGAAAAATGATAAGCAATTAATATTTTAAACGGTAAACAGTGATACCAATGTTGAAAACCTAAAAATGTTATACAAAATAATCATAATTATTAGCAAATTACTAAAAATTATTTTTATTTATTTAAAATATAATTTTATAACTATATTTTTTACAAATTTTAATACAAGTAATATTTAATACAATTAAAAATGAAAACAGTCAATCTAGACTACAATTATTTTCTACCAACACCTGTTTTGGAAGTTTAAAAAGCAGTAAAATGCAACTTCGACGGAATTGCAAATAGTAGTTAACACATTTAAAAATAAATAAATAATTACGAATAGGAATAAAATCTAAAAATATTAAAATATGTAGTGGTTAGGGGTAAAGTTTATGAATAATAATTGTGATATAATATCATAATCATGATAATAATCTATCATTTTTCTTTCCATGAGCGTACCTCCATAAACGTTTACTGGTATCATAAGAATATTAATTTTTGAACCGCTCTCAAAGTATCATCACAACGCCGTATAGGCTATTGTAAATTGTTCACTCAGTCGCTTTGACACGGAGTTGTGGACGCTAAAACGCCTAACGCCATTGGCTCTAAATTCAGTTATAATCTTAACCTATCCGATCATTCTAACCATTGTCCATTATCGTCTCAGGCTTCCCGCTATAGTTTACTGTTTGTTCATCTCAAATACTTGTCGCTGCGAGTTTTAATTGTTTACTGTTGTAAGCCGCGAGTTTTTCAGTTAGCTACTGTTGTTACCGTTTATTTTTACTTCGTTTACCGCCGACACCACAGAGTTCCTTAAACCACGAGAACACCGTCCGTGGTAAGTAGCCTACCAGTAACGCTGCGTGTGAGCGCCCGAAAAGAACTTCAATCCATTTGTACACAAAACTCCCATATCAACCATGGCAGCCGCCATTGCTGGAGTGTTCCAACCCGAAATGCAAAATCTCATCAAAGAGTCCAAGGTATTGTTAGTGGGCGCGGGTGGCATTGGCTGTGAGGTTCTCAAGAACCTCGTGTTGACGGGTTTTAGCGAATTGGAGATTATCGATTTAGACACCATAGAAGTTAGTAACTTAAACCGGCAGTTTCTATTCAACAAGGAGTCTGTGGGAAAAGCCAAGTCACATGTCGCCAAAATTAGCGTACTAAAATTCAACCCAAATGTGAATATCACTTCACACTTGGGTGACATTATGGACACTAAGTATGGTGTGGCATTTTTCAATAAGTTTAAATTGGTCATAAATGCTTTGGACAACAAGAAGGCACGTAGCCATGTGAATCGTATGTGCCTGTCATGTGATATCCCACTCATTGAATCTGGTACGATGGGTTATAGTGGCCAAGTAGAATTTATCAAGAAAGGAGTAAGTCTTTGTTATGAATGTTATCCAAAATCTGAACCTAAGTCGTATCCAATGTGCACAATCAGAAACACACCTAAAGAACCTATTCACTGTATTGTATGGTCCAAGTTCTTATTTGGACAATTATTTGGAGAATCGGATGAAGACGTGTCCATGGACGAGGCTATTTCTCAAGACAGCTCAGAAACAATGTCAGCCCGCAATTGGGCTATTAAAAATGAATATAATCCAAGAAAATTGCTTAAGAAAGTTTTTTATGATGACATTCAATACTTGTTGAGTATGGAACATCTATATGTGGATAAAAAAATTAAACCAGTACTTTTGGATGAAGCACTTTTTAATCAAGAACGTGTAGAGTACAGCCACGTACCTGACAGTGAACTGTTAACTCTCATACAATGTGTATCAATGTTTTTGGATTGTATAACACCAATTAAACAAAAATTAGAAGCATCCAAAAATAGATGTTTAGTCTGGGATAAAGATGACGATGACTTTATGAATTTTGTTGTATCAAGTAGCAATATTCGTTCAGCGATTTTTAACATACCATTTAAAAGTCACTTTGATATTAAATCAATGGCAGGAAATATTATTCCTGCAATAGCCACAGCAAATGCTATAATTGCTGGACAAATTGTAATACATGCTTTGAGAATTTTAAGAGGTAAATATGAACGGTGTCAAAGCGTATTTTTAAGAGGTATGCCTAATCACAAAGGTGCAGTTCTTGTCAAAGACAAATTTCTTGAAAAACCAAATCCAAAATGCATGGTGTGTACTACTGATGGAGAAATTATATTATCTACTGATATAAACAATTTGACCGTGAAGCAATTTGAAGAATTAGTATTAAAGAAAAAATTAAACGTGGTAGCACCTGATGTTTTGGTAGATGGTAGAATGATAATTTCTAGCGATGAGGCTGACGAGGTCGATTTATATGAAAAAACTCTAGCAGAAGTTGGTGTGAGTCATGGATCTAGATTTAGCGTTGATGATTATTTCCAAAATTATAGTATCAAAATCATGTTGTTTCAAAAAGAAAAATCTGAGGAAGAAGATCCAGATTTTGAAATTTTTGGCAATTTAGAAGAAATGAATAAAGCAAATAAATTAAAGAACAATATAGCTGAAGCTGAGGAAAATGATGAAGATTGTTTAATTGAGAAGGATGAAAGTAGCGCTGATAAAGTAGATGGTGGCAAGTTAAAAAGCAATGAACAAGCACAGGATATGAATACTGACAAAGAACAAGCTGATGATTCAATAATTAAGGAGGATATAATGGATAGTGATCCAGAAGTTGTCGAGATGGATCAAGAAATCAGTAATGAAGAGATATTGGCTACTAAAAGAAAAGCTAATGAAGCAATTGAAGATGTTAACGGAGCTAAGAAAAGTCGTATTGACTAAAATACTATTTATAGTTACTATTAACAGTAAATTTGAACTTCATACAACTTAATAATATATACATTTATAAACACGTAACAATAATGTTGATAAAACTATTTTAATGTTCCTTTTTAGTAATACTGCTGTAATTTTCATATTCTTTTAATCAGACTACATTATTATTAACTACAACAAAATTTGTATTTTCATGATTGTATTACCTAATAATTATTATTTTTTTGATATCCAATTTATAAAGAGAAAATCAATTCATATTATTAACATTTTTTTATTTATATTTGTGAAGGTTTTATATTTTACTTGTATTTTCTGAGATAAAATTAAAACTAACTCTGGCTAAATTGCTTAAATTATTTTCAAGTATGGACTTAATTTACAAATTAATTTTTTTTTTTGATACTGTTTTACTATTAATGACTATGAGTTGAACTAATGCTATAACCTCGTACAATTATTAAACTTAACAATATATAAATGTATATTATGACAATTATTTATTGCATTTTTGTAGATGTATTAATTTACTAAGTGTTCTGCATCAAAATAATCATCTACTTACTACATTGTAATATTTTGTAAATATGATTTTTCTGAAGAGCACAAAACATATTTTTATTTTTATTATATTCATACTGTTGATTGTGGCATTGTGTTAATGTTGAAATGTGAACTGGTTTACAACACCTAAGACATTCATTTAAAAAAGTATATAATATATATTAAACACAGCCAACCAATAACGATACATCAAAACTAGATATTTAGTTATCATCGTACCTAAGTTAGTTTAGATAATAACTTCCAACTGACTTAGTTAAATAAGTAAATATATGTTATATGATTAATTTTAATCTTGGACTACTACTAAAAACAATACATTGAAGCTTGGCTTTAATCATAAAGTATTTAGTTAAGTCAGTAACATTTGACTGAAAATATTGAGTAAGTTATCTTATAATTTGATTACAAATCAATTGTAATATAAATTTGTTGTAATTATGTAATTTCATTAAAGTCTTGTAAGTTAAAATACAAAGAAATTGCAGATGACTGGGCAAATAATATGGAGATATTGTGATATGTGGTTCATATACTACGACTGACAAGTATATTTTAAGATTAAATTGATTACTCATATTTAAAACTTAATAACAAAAACTGTGTACTCTTTACATTTGTATAAAACTTATTTATCTTATAATTTTTTTTATATATTACATTTATTAGATTAACTAAAACATAAGTAACTGCTCTGTTAATTATAAATTAATTTGATTGAGATTTAGTTAGGCATTTACATTACTTTTGTCATTCCAAGCACATTATACTTTTTGGTAAGGTGCCAAAAATATTTTATTTTGTAAACTATAATGTTATGTACTTTTAAATTATAATACAAATACCTTTCCTGTGTTTATTTAAATTGTTATTTTGTTTTTATTTGACGATAAATCTAAGAAACAGTTTAACAGTAGGGTACATCACTCATGTTGAACTAAGTATAATCATATTACTCTAAGATTCATATGATTCTCAGTAAAACATATTTCTCAAAAAAAAAGACGAAATTCGTAAATAATCAGTCGTATATGAAAAAATTTATAAAAATTGTTAGAAATAGTTGTTTTATTCATAGTTCACATTATCGTTAACATATAACACATTGAAAATTAATCAAAACACAATCTTTAATAAATTATCAGACAATTAAACTGAGTAAAATAAAATGTAACCCAATAAAATAATTATTCATAAATGTTTGTGTTGTTTTTGGACTACGGAAAGTACGTACTTCTTCGTCAATTTAATATTTACTTACTTTATTTTGACCTAAAATGCTGATTATTAATCGTGCTTTAATATTTTTACAACAAAATATTGTACTTCAAATTTAAAGAAATAAATTAAATTATGACAACTTGGGTAATTCTTTTCGAAATAATGTGTTTTCTGGCTAAAAAAATAACAGTAAGTTGATTATTTATGTTTATACATTCAGAGTAAAGCGGTACATAGATAGATAACTACCAAAAAAAAAACATGCCAAAGATCAGTAGGTCAAGTATATGTGGTCATTGTAAGGTTTCAACATTTTTTTTTTTTTTTATTACAAAACTTATTTATAACACCTTTGAAGTGACAGGAATAATGTTAACATTGTATCTTAAATTATGATATAAATATAATATATTATCAAAGAAGAAATAGAAAAATCATCTTCCAAAAATTGAACACAAGGCACAAAACATGGTCTCTTATTTAAAAAGAGAACTCTTTATGATAGATCCCATTCAAAAATTTTTTTTTTACGGAATACTATTTGAGATACCAATATAAAATGTAGCAAATTAATAATATTTTATTCTCTAAAAAAAGAAGCAAATCGTGATTATTATAAAACTGTCAATTTTAAAATGATCATAATTTAAACATAAATAAAAGTCTATAGATGCCTTAAATAATAATCTTACCTTAATAAATCTTTTTAAATTTTTTTTTTTTAGAAGTATTGAAAGTTTCACAAATTTGAACTTGTAGTACGTCATCATGAGTACATTTGAGAAATCATTTTTTGAAATTTAGATGACATTCACACAGGTATTTTTGTGAGAGGTCGTTTTCTTGACTGAACCATTAAATAAAAACTAATGCACTGATATTATTTAAAAATCTATGGTTGAACATATTATGACAGAAGACTGTAGCATTAATGCTTTAATTTCGACTTTCTGTAACGCCATCAATAATAAAAACAATACTAAATTATGTAGGGGATGTATTATACTTATTTGCATATTATTTATTTTTTCTATATATACATAAGTGTAATGCACAGTGAAGTACATTGATTTTCATATGTATATATACAAATATAATTAAATTTCTTTTTATAAATTTCAAAGTTATAAGCTAACAAAACATTTCATATTTTCATAACTAAAATATTCAGTTTTACATTGGTAAATTTTAATATTAATACCTACTAAATAAATGGCATTGCTGCTTTTGATACCTACATAGTTATTTGGATGATTATACAAATGTTAAAATTTTTCATGATCTAAATTATTAAATTTCTAGTACTTATGTAAATATATTATACATATTATACAACAAAAACTGCAAAATCAATAATTTATTTAGGATATAGATAGTCCATGTAAGTATAGTATAAAATATAAATTAAACATTAATACATACCACAGAAAAAAAAATGTAGAGAGACAAGAACATAATTTTAATTGTATACAAATTAGAATAGATTTCATAAAATATCAAAAAAAAAAAAAAAAAAAACCACTACATATACGATATACATATATATTTATATATGAGTATATCTATATACATAAATATATATATATATAACAACCAATTGAAATTAAAATTAGTATTAATAGTCTGTATGTTGTACAATTTGTATAATTAAATAATAAAAAAAGAAAAAAGAACATAATTACGGTATATGTTTAACTAGCCACAAAACTATAGTCATACTATGCAAGTTTTACATATATATATATATATATATATATATATATTATGAATATACAATATTATTGTTAAACACTTTACACTTTTACACAGTTATTACAGTATTACAGAGCTTCTAATAAAATAATTGTTCTCTATTATAACAACATTGAGCTCTAATATTGTATCTATGCAACAGCTGCATCAGTATTATTAAATATATAATATTTAAATTATTATTATTTTTAAATTTTTTTGTTAAAGCATAAAAAAAAACATTTATATACTTGGTTATATAATAATATTCGTGTGTGAACAAGTATGGTCGTTGGCGATAAACACAATGGGTTTATTATTATCATACTATACATATAAATAAATTATGTTATAATAACATATCACGCCAAAAGAGCAATATTTTTGAACTTTTTGCCAAACAATTTTGGATCACTATATAAAGAAATATATACTAATTGATGTTAAAATGAAATACAGGCTTCTATATTTTACATGCAATTAATTATATTAATTGGGAATACGTGCCAATAACATAAATTGCATGTGATAGTAACTAATTTGTACATAATTTTGAATAGTCATTACATTTGATTTTTATTAATTAACAATTTCAAATTAATGACTAAAATTGAAAATCTATTTTAGTTTAAAAGCTTGTTTTCTTTCCAATACTCGTATAGTCTTGAAAAAATAGAGGAACCCTTGAGTATGACAAAAAAAAAAAAAAAAATCAGTTTGGATTAACTAAAAATAAACACGTCAAATAAAAAAATGTCTATATATATTATAAATATAATATATAATAAATAAAATTAAAACATTTATACATTGGAATGAAGTTTTTATTCTTGACAAATATATTTTTTTCAATTTATTATTAATAGATCGCAACTATTATGAATAATAAAACAAATTTTTTTCACAAATAATATACATTAAACCCATTAGTAAATATTTTATTAAAATAAAAAGAAGATATAAAAGGACAGATTATTACAATATGTATTTGTTTTTTGTTAATTAATGTATTCTTTTGATATATAATCATTGAATTTAAATTATTGTTACCTCAATATTAAATAGATACAATTTTGTTTGGAGTAATTTTATTTTTATAGATTTTTTGAGGTACACATTATAATGATATAATAATATACTATTAATATTGATTATCTGAATAAATAATAATATTAATGGTTTTTTTTTTTTTCATAAAAATTTTGGAAGTCATTATAACATATACTAAATTTAAGTTGTCTACAAAAAAAAAAAGAAAACAGGAACGTTAGGTATGCAAAAAATAAAATTTTCAATGCAATAAAAATGTTAAAATCGCTGCACATTTTGTATGATATACAAATTGTCTGTAGTTTATGAAATTAACAATTACTCTAGATTTGTATTAATATGATTGAAAAAGCATTAGACCTACCCCTTTATAATATGGATATCAATTATGCACATAAAAAATACACTACAAAACCGTAAGAATTTGCACTATATTTACACAAGTTTACTATAGTATATATATTAATACACATGTAATTGTTTATAAAATTATCTTTGGACTTAAAAAATAACACAAAAGGCAAGTAATTGGGAACTAAATCAAAATTTGAATTTAATTTTTAAAAGGCTACACGTTTGACGAGATCCTCTGGGAAAAAAAAAACAAATATCTTACTATAAAAAAAAAAAAAAAAAAGAAAAAACAACAACATAATAATATTTGATTAAAATAAGACTGATTATTAGTTCCAATAATTTTGTTTAAAGTTTGTAACAACAAAAAGAAAAAATATGGTTGTTAGTATTATTGAAAATGAGCTTAAAAACGTTTTAAAATTGCGAATTCATTCATTTCATAAGTTGAGTTTAGGTATCAACAAATTTACCTATAACAAAGTTGACAACCTTAGACTGTACTTTTTTTTTAAAAACTTAATACATAAAATAATACAGATATGATGAATTTGTAGTAAGTTTTTTTCTGTGTACATATATATTACCTTAAATGTTTGTGAGTGGTTTGATTGCCAAGGCATTTTTTGGTCGCACTGTAAATAACAAAAAAAAAGAACAATATTTATAATTAACATACTAAGGAATTAAAGGCCAAGGCCCTTTGTTTTAGGAATTTAGTTGCAATAGGTTAAAGATAATAAATTAGCAAATGCATTTAATATAAGGTGTAATCGTCATTTTGTACATTTGATTAAAAATGTCAAAAAAAAAATAAAATACTTAGTGCAGGTAATATATGATACATTATTAATAGGTATTTCAAGAACATTAAGCCCGATTATTTTTAATTATTTTTTAGTCACAATACATGATAAATTCATTTACCAATTCTACACTAAAAAAAAATCTATTGTTTATCATTCTTAATAGATTAAAATTCAAAATAATCTATTTAAAATTAGAGATAATATTCATTAATAATATACCTATCAGTTAGTTGAAAATGCTCCCAGTTTTATCTATTTATTGGACAATAGGATTAATTAGACTAGTTTTAATTAAAATTGATTCTAATTATTGACATTAGAAAATAAAAAAATAATGGAATAATATATTTAAATTATTAAGATAATAAATAATAATATAGATCAGAATTTCCAGTCAGGACAATTAAAATTTTTTTTATTTTAAAATGCTAATCTATTTAGTTAGACATATTTTATTTTCAATACAAGCTAATTGACTTTAATCCATGAAAAAAATACTTAGGTAAACAATATTATACATTTATACTAAATTAATATTATTTATAGCTATATTAATTAATAATAAGTAATACATTTCATCGACAAGAAGATTAAAATAATTATATTACCAATATTTCATTAAATAACGTCAAATTACTTTTATTATTATGTTTGACTCGATATTACAACCATACAATCAATATACATATTTAATAACAATAATCAAAAGATTAAATAAAAATAAAAAAATTAAGTATTAAAAAAACTAAATATGGGTATAAATAACTAGTATAATTTTAATGAAATTTTAATTGAATATAAATTTAAATAACTCACTATTTAAGACTAAAAGGATTTCAAAATAGCGCACTTCAATACTAATCATTTAGTTTAAAAATTAGATTTTTAACAACTCTTTTAATATAAATTAATAAAAACTTATCTTAAATCTACATAATATAAACATAATTTGCTTTTACCTTTTAAGCTATTTCATTTGAAGGTTGCCTGGAAGTAGTTGACGATGATGGGTGATTTGGACTATCTGGATTAATATTCTCTGGAGTAGATGGACCACCACTAGCAGCAGATGCTTCATTTCCACTTCCCACAGAATCTTTTAAATGCTTAGGTATCAAAGCAGATTTCAGAGACCCAGCTGCACTCAATTCTGAAAAAAATTAAATAGTTTAGTTTAACCTTTAAATTAAATTTAAAACAATAATACAAAAACGTTATTAAAAGAGTGCTATAGATACATCAAGTAGAAAACCTCTATTTAACAAATATACATACAAAAAATATGAATAACCAATTTTGTATGATAAGCTTTAATATTAGGATGAATTGTTCAATTATCAAACTTAAAGATAAAAACATATCTATTTTGTTTTTTTATGCTGATCCTTTACAATATTTTAATCTTTAAGATACATGAGCATCTTTAAGTTGTAATATTTTACATACTTACTCAATAACTTTCTTAAAAATATAAAGAACCATTATATCAACACAAATAATATATATTCATTTGAGTTTAATTATAGGTCCATTCATTCTAATATTACAGCTAACATAAAAATGGTTCTGTAGTATATGTAAATTTGTTTTAAATGGTACATTAGTAATATAGAAATAATACATGTAAAGGAAATTTAATATTATTTTTGATTTTATGAGATAATAGTTAAATACTTACCTAATTGCGTAAAATTGAAAAGTGGAGGTAATGATCGTCCATTTGGTAATCTATGGAGTGGATCTCTTAACTCATCGAAAAATGCATGAGCACACGCTTGTAATGGAGACACCCTAAGTGATGGAGTGTATTCAAGTAACACCGACACCAATTCTACAGCTTCTGCTGGTGTCCGCATACGGAAAACCTTTATAAATGACGCCTTTAGGTTAACACATAGAATATACGCTTCAAACACACACTTCATTATAGTTAAAATATTAAAAGAAAACGGCATAAATTAAATAAATATAACAATTCAAAAGACATGTTAGAGCTCTAATTTTCTTTAAATTCTACAGTAACTTTCAAATATAGCAGTAATAACCACAATCGAATACCATTTTTACGAGCAAATACATAATTTGTTTTAAACTTATCAAAAAATAATAATTAATAAATTATTATTATATAAAACTGAAATTATCTTAAAAAAAAAACTTATAATTATACACTAAATAATCAGTCATGTAACCTTTGTAGGCAAGTTGTTAAGACTCTTTTAATATAAAGAGTATGTCAAAAAGGTTATAATAATTGAACAAGAAAAACTGGTTAGATATTCAAACTATCTCACAGTCATTTTTCGACTTACTCTAATCTTTTGATGAACATTGCTGTTTTTTGGGAACGACATGCGTTGCAGCATAAACTGCAAGGTACAATATGTACGTTAAAAATAAAAGTAAAGATTTTTCTTCTCTAACATGTCTTACTAAAATAATATTAGTAGAAAAATAAACTTAAAAAAAAAAAAAAAATGAAAATGAAAATTAGATTTATTATTTGATAGACAAAGAAATTGAAGCCCTGTAATTGAATTTGCTCATACAATTTAATGTAAAAATAGACAATCTTTATAAGTTAGTTACATGTAATTATTAAACAAATGTTACAATTATTATACTAACTTTAATACTTACTATATTAATCTGTAGCTTCTAGATCAAATTAATTTTACTTAAAACAAGATTAAATTTATTTAAATTCTACGTAATGTTTGTAGCAAAATTCATAGAAATAAAATATTTTGAAAAAACTTATGAGCAAACTCTGTAAGAATATTATTTCTTTAACCTCGTACATATTTGTTAAATTCAATATAAATGTAATTCAAACAATAACTAACCTTTGACCAAGGATGAGATTTGATCTGTGGGAATTTGAATTCTGTATAGTTGGGATTCATTTCTCTGATCTGTTCTCTTGTTGGTGTGCCAAGGACTTTTATAATTTCAACTAATTGATCAACACCAGAGTCCCCTGGAAAGATTGGCTGACCTAACATAAGTTCTGCTAATACACATCCAGCACTCCATACATCTAAGAAATCAATATTTCATCAAAAAATTAAATAATTTATAAATTATCATTTTAATTGAAAATTTGTTTGATATTAATTATTTAGTACCTATAATATATATATATAGATAAATATACTAATAAACATATTAAAAAAAATAATTGTTTATTTTAAACACAGAAATACAAATATAATAATATTACAAAGATATTTTCAAATATGTATTTTAACTTTTGAGAGTTGATAATATGAAGTGTGTACAATAAAAACCCAGACAAAACGTATTAAAAATTGTTTCAAACATACTATTTAAATTTTAAATGGATAACCTAAAAAATAGTGCCCTTTAGCTTCAATAAAATACTCTCACAGTCTTGAACTTATTAAAATACCTTTGAATTTCCTTCATAGTTATAGCTTTTAGCTCTTTTGTCATGTTATCTATAGTTTCATTAGTCTTTGAATCTCTAACTTTTGAAGTTAATTTTAAGTCTTGGAAACAAAAAAAAAAAAATCACATGAAGCTAAGTCTAGTGGATATGGTAGAGCAGGTACCATTAGTATATTTTTAGAATGCATTGGTGCTTTATAGTAGAGCAAAGACCACGAGTTTGATTTCTAGCTTTTTATGGTATACTTTCTCTCTTAATCTTTCTAATACATGTTTATAGAACACTTGATTTACTGTCCGATCTGTAGACACTAATTCATAACGAACTAAACAAAAAAAATCAATAAAAGAGCTTTTTTTGATGCTTGACCAGACTTGATGACATTTTTTTGGACGAGGCAAATTTTTTGTTTTCCATTGTAAATGATAAATCTTTGGTTCCAAGTTTCGATCAAAACCAAGAACATAAGTTTCACTACTCGTAATAATTGTTTTATAATAACTTGGGTCATTAGAAACCCAATTTTTTAGTTCCAAATATATTTTAATGCAGTGTTTCTCTATTTGTTCATTAGTTAAGCAATAGTTTTGTAGGCACTCTTTTCATACCCAATTCATCAGATAAAATTGAATGACATATACCAATTGATAAATTAACTTTCATTGGCTATTTATCTAACAGTTAATTAATGGTTTTATTTAGTTTTATTTCGAACAAGAGTAAAGATATAATTTTTTTTTTTAAATGTTGGTGGACGCTCAGGATGATGGTAATCTTCAATAGATAAGCAACTTTCTTTAAAACATTTAAATCAGTCAAAAATTATATAACAGATCAGCGATATATCTCCAAAAGCCAATTTAAACAATTCAAAAATGTCCATAACATTTTTAAACAAAATTTAATACATGTTGCTCTACGTGAAATCGAGATTTTAGACAACCAAATTTAAATTGTCAATGACTGATTGGAGATAATAATTATTATTATATAATGAAATAATGGACATTTATTTTGTTTATTTTGGTATAATAACATTTCCAATAACATCAAAATTTTTTTTTTTTAATAACTTTAGTCTGGATATTTATTGAATACACTCATATATTATATATATATAGGCTCTGTAAAATTCATATAATACTAAAATTATACAAAAATCTTTAAATATATTTTATTAAGTCAGGAAATTGTAGTGAATAATTGAATTTTTAAGCACCAGTCGCAAATATTAATTTTAGATTATCAAATAAAATAAGAGCATGAAGGAAATACACAATAATTACCATTAATTATAATAAATAAATAAATAAATAAATAAAACAATATAAAATGAATGTTAAGTGTGTGTGTGAGAAATATTCTAAATTTAAAAATGATAAATTATTATGAATTAATAAATAATCTTATCAACAATAATTTATAAATGTACTGATTAATATTGGCTACCTATTTTTTATAAAATTCTGAACACCTAAAATTAATAAAAAAAAAAATTACCAATTTTTGTAGTGTAATCTATAGCACCGAATATCAGTTCAGGTGCTCGGTAGTATCTTGAACATATGTAGGATACATTAGGTTCACCCTTGATAAGAGTCTTAGCACTGCCAAAATCGCACAATTTCAATACCCCTGTTTCAGGATTTAATAACAAATTTTGAGGCTTAATATCACGATGACATATGCCTAATGAGTGAATATAAGCCAAACTTCGGAATAACTGGTACATGTACAACTATAAAATAAATTCATTAATAATATTTAATATAACATTTCAATTTCATTAATAATTTTATAAGAAGCAAACCTTAATGTAGTTGATCGGAATTGTTTGCCTTAATTTGCTATAATGACGAGCAACTTTATATACAGTATCTGGTATGTATTCCAAAACTAAATTTAGATAAACTTCATCCTTCTAAAATAATCATAAATTTATTAAAAAAAAAAAGAATATAAGTAGTTTAATCATTTTAAAATTACCTTGTCACCACTTGAATAAAAGAAGAATTTCAATTTCACTATGTTACAATGGTCTAGACGTTTCATTATTTGTAATTCACGATTCTAAAATAACCCATAAAATTAATAAATACATGAAAAATATTCATAATTAATGATTTAAATAAAAAATTAATTAATATTAACTTCTTTTTAAATTATTAGGTAAGAAACAAAAGAAAAAGTAATACTAATTAATACCTACTTTAAATGAATAGGAATGATGTTTAATTTTATTAATTTTTTATATTTTCTAAATTTTTATGTAGCATCTCAAACTTAAATAAAATCTGTTACTAAGCAAAACTCAGTTAAGTACAAGTTATTAATAAAATTTAATTGTTTTAATCTGAATAATTTGTCTATAATTAAGGTGCTCATGTCATGTTGAATAATCGATCAATGTAAAAACACTAAATTTAAAGGCATTACAAAAAGTTTTCAAAATTCAAATATTTTAAAAGCAAATGAACAAAAGTATATTCACATTATACATTCAATATTAAATTAAATGATAAAATATTAGAACTTACTTTAAATCTTTTATCTTGAAGGACTTTTTTAATAGCAACCATTTCTCCTGTATCACATAATTTAGCTTGATATACAACACCAAAACTTCCATTGCCGATAACCATTGTGTCTGTATACGACACCTCCAAGGGTCGATCTGGTCCTTGGCATGGATTTGCCACCACTGTAGTGACTTTACTGCCATCTTTACCTTAAATAAATAAATCATCATACAGTTAAATTAACATTTTCACAAAATATAGAAGTGTAATTAAATTATTAAATAAATTAGACTAGGACAAAGTTATTTAACATCAATATATTTGAGATATATAGATAATATTGTAAAATAAATATTTACACATTAAAATTTAATTGGCAAAAATTAATATTCAACTGCAAAATGTTTTCTAGTAAAATAAATTACCTTGAAAATATCAACACTTAAATAATAAACATATCTAATAATTGTGGAATATTGTACTAAATAATTTAAACTAATAACAAGATTATTGAATTAATGTGTTAAAAATTAAAATTAGATATTATATTATGATTTAAAACAGCGACTATCATGTTGCTTATCAATCATGAAACAATAAATATTTGATATTTAAATAAGCAATTAATTCACTACTAAAATTATAAAAATGCATAGTTAAATAGTAGAATATTGAGTAGATATGATTAAACTACAAAGGATAAGAAAATTATAAAATTAAAAATAATGTAAAAATAAATAATAATCATGATTGATGAGTAAAATATATAAAAACAGCAAAATAAATACCACAAAATAACTAATCTAAAAAAAAGTAATACAATTTTTAAGATACTTATAGTTTTTTTTAATATTGTAAATCACCTATGATAAGTCATTATTAAATATCATAGTAGATGCTATTATTAGTTAATCAATAATTTGTAAGAATAACTCATAGTAAAATTTATCTAAATTTTTTTATATAAATTATTTATTAATTTTTTGTTTCAAAATTAAGCCATTGATAAAGTTCTTATCATAATTAAAAAATGTTTTATCCTTTTTTTCAAAATTAAATAAGTTCAACAGAAATAATGTAATTATTAAGATAAACTATGACAAGAGAAAATATACAAATACTAAATAGAATAATTATTCTTAGAAATAAGGACTTATACTTTTAATCATTTATTTTAGTGAACAATCATTACTTAAAATATTATATTATTTAGTCAATAATATCATACTAATGATATTTAATACAGAAATAACAATGAACAGATATAGACAATACATCAAATATATTATTAAGATAAATTTTATACAAATAATCATTAATTCAAACATGAATTATAGATTCTAACTGTTCTTTAAATTATACAGATAATTATTAGGACTACTTTTAGATTATAGACAACCGTGGTAAGAAAAGATGAAAAAATGTTTAATTAAGTTTAAATTAAATTAAAAAATAAAAAGTAAAACATACTTATTCAATTAATGTTAGTTGAGAATATATTTTAAATAATCAATTAAAAGATAATATCAAGAAAATTAATACCTTGAAGTCTTAGACGTTCAGAATTTGCTACCACAGTTGGATTCCAAATAGGAACCACATCATTTATTGAGGGATCCTCACACGGAAGATGTAAATCCATTACTACTTAGTTTACTAACATGTCAAGCCAATGTATTGACATTGAATTCAAAAAAAGGTCTATCATTTCAAAATTAACTTGGCACAATGAAATCAACTAACCAATATATTTTTAGATTCAATAAAGGTTATTTATTTAAATGAAAAATAAAAATTGATAAATTGAATTTGTTCTATCACTTCATTAAGATACATAGGTAAGATATAACATTTTAATATTTAAATATAAATTGATAATCACCCTAATTTTTTCAATTATTAAAATGTGTTAATAATAAATATTTTTTATTTCATTATTAATAATAAATTACCTATAGTATAAATTGCATCTATTTAATACCAACCAAATTTATTTTAAAAATGAATGAATTAAACTTATTAACTTTTTAAGTAAGTATCTAGTTTTATTACATTTATTCATAATTTATATGCATGTGATGTGATACATCAAGATAATTGATAATATCCATATCCATAGACGTATAAAAATTATTAACTATATTTTTATTAAGCTAAAAGAAATATATTCTAATAAAATAAAAATACCAAAATCTTAATTAGAAAATTGTGAACTTAAATAAGGCACATACACATTGCAACAGTGATGATAAAATTCTCTGGTCTTTCACCATAGCAGTAAATTGTTGTCCGGCTAACACCATTACCACTGCTTCAGTGTGTACATACCTTAATATAAATATCCTCCAAATGTTTTATTTTGATCATAAATATAATATACATATAAGTAACATATTATAATTTAACCAATTTTTAGATTTTCTATGGGAATTAAAAGTACCACATTTTTTGGCATTTAAAATTTTTATATAGATACCTATATAAAAAATGTAAATACATATGTACATCCTTATTTAATAACTAATAAATATTACACAGCATGAGAATTAAATTTACTTGCATAATTAAGCACTGATAAGCATATTTTTTCACATAAATAAACTTTCAAATATTGCATAATGAATTGAATGCAATTTCATTATAATTAATAACCAAAAATTAATTTTCAAAAGAAAATATTTTAGTTTAATTAGATAATACAGATATTTAATACCACATTAAATTTAGAATTCACATATTCATAAATTTATCAATCATTTATAAAAAGGTTATGATAATACATGATGCAGAATTTAAAATTACATTACAAGTAGGTTAGGTAGATATTATATACTAGTACCATAATATGACTAATGAAATAACAGTAGACCTAGACAGTTGTTTTTTTTATTGTGGTAATAATTAATATTTTATCTAACATAGTTGTAAAAATGACGTATTTTTTAAGTACATTACTTAAACATTATACATTAGGTGGATAATTTTATACTATAATTCAATAAAGGATCATAACTATGATCACTGATTATAAAATAGATTATAGTATTTTCTAAAATCAATGCTATGACTATGAAAATGTATGAAAGTATTATCATAAACACAGTTAATGAGCTACTTTGTTAAATCACAATAACTACCAACTATAGTAACTAAAACGTAATTTAAGTAACCTAAAATTATGCAAGTATCTTGAATTTAATGTATAAATAATGTGTATTAATTAATCTACAAATAACATAACAAAATACTCTTAAGTTAAAAAAATGAAATCAAATCAAAGGAATGTATATATATATATATATTATATATGTATAAAACATGCAAGGTAAATTTAGCAAATTACCTTGAAGGTAGTATATCATAGATAATTTAGTAGAATTACCTATTTGATAAGGATGAAAAGCCGTAATGACCTAATAGTAGATCAAGAATATATTTCAGTCAAATAAACATATTAAATTAATTTTATCCCTTCACTGTTTGACAGAGTATAACAGTAGGCCAAATGTTTGAACAAAAAATAAAAATAGTGTGGGTCGACTTTTCAAAAGAATGTACTGTCATTGTAAGTATTGTGATTATTTTAGGTAAGTGATTTTGAGTACGCACGAAAATGTTATGTTAATAGTGCAAATGTGTGTATGTAAGTACATACTTATGACTTTAATTCCGCCCAGAGGAGGATTCGGAGAAGTTTTATTTCCTTCAGCAAAGGAAGTAGTCCTGGGCCTTCCGCTCATGTCCACCGGAGGGTGGTGTGAATATTGTCGTCGAGTTCTCTCTTCGGAGTAGCTCTTCTATCAATCGTTGTCGTCGTCGTCGTCGTCGTCTTTGTCGTAGTATACAGCAGTCGTCGGCGTCGTCGACTAAGTGTGCAGCGGGTAGATGGTCTTCGGTTTTACATAATTCGTGCGAACTCGCGATTTCGGCGTTAACACACACGGGTGGCACTTAAAGGAAAATGTGTGCCGTACAAAACGGAACGAGAGTCGAGAAGAGGAAACGTGATTTATTGCTCCGCAATGTTTTTTATTGATAAAAAAAAAAAAGAAGAAAAATAAGAAATTTTTCTGATACGCCTATCTGGCCTGGTTCGCGGCCCACATACTACGCTACTACCTGAGGGTAGTGGTGGCGGCGGCTAAACAGCACATTGGAAAACGACGGACTGTACGCAGTACGCACGCACACTCAAACACGGTACACACTACACACACACGCGAGAGCGCGCGCACACGCAGACCGCGGCTTGGCGTTAACGGACCGACCGAACTCCTCGACCGCGGGAGAAACGGACGAGAATATTATTGTTGTTCGTACTTTTCCGATGACTGGGAGTCTACTGTAAAAAATGTAAGCGACTGATACGAACGCTCTGGCCGTTAGTCGTGTACTTGTTAGTTGTTTGTATCGTCGGCAGTAATCGAGCTTTCGCCTCGGGTCATCCGTAAATTGTGTTTTAATCACGAGTTCGACACGGCTGTGTCTCCATTTTGGAAACGTCGGCGGACGCAGCACCAGACGGCAGACATTGACCCAATCGGAACGGTTAGGGGGACCCCCCGACCCGCAACCACAGCCGACACACCGCTACGGCCCGCGCACGCCATCGCGCAATGTCGAAAACGTGACTGTGACGTCAGTCTATTGCGTAGTAGCGGCCGCCGACTGCCGCGCGCGAGCACTTCGGTGGCGGCCTAATCTGCCGCATTTTCATATTTTACCATTAATCTTTTTGGGATCGGCGTCGTTGCGCTGTGGAACGGCGTACCGTTTAATTTTATTTCTATAGTTTGGTCCGGACGTTTCCGAATACCGACTTTTTGACCGTGGTTGACGATATGATATAATTAAATCTATCCTTTCCATCCGTCAAACAAACTATTTCGTTAAAACAAAATTGTCTGGCATAGCGATCGTCACCTCGGCGGTCGGACTACTCAAGGATCGAGTGCGCAGGGTCAACTCGAATGCACGTCATAACGATATCCGTGTCTTTCGATTTAATCTATTCCTTAATGGCTCAGTCAGAGATGACTGGAACTGACGTAACCTTAAAACCGTATTCATGGATAGAAAAGAGTGTAGAAAAATAATCACTTGCCGCCGAATTTGGTTTTTTTTAAAGCCCGCCGACGTGATATTAATAATATGTTATTATATTATATAGTGAACGAGCGCACTCGTTGAACACGATCATTTATTATACTTGAGACTTATTTATAATTAACGTTCGCGTGGGTCAGATTTTTGGCTAATACGATTGACTGTAATTTATATTCCCCTAAATTGCACTTATTTCACTATCGTGTTTTACGTATTATATAATATTTAAGTACATACTATTTAATAATATTTAATCTACGCATTGTTTGAATTTTTTGAACATTTTTACGAATTTTAATAACTATTTGGGTATTACGACCGAAATATTTAATATATCCCAATTATCTACACGCAAATATTCACGCTAATAACGGTGTAGGTGACAAGTGATATTGCGTTTAGCCCGTTGACTTATAATTCCATTATAAAAAGTAAATGTGTATCTTTATCCGAATTATACATGTTATTTAAGTGTATTTTAATTAAATTTAAGAACTTGTAATCCATCTTATTTAAGACAATTGTGTTTTTATTTTTTGTCTTACATGTGTGTAATAGTCAATAGGCAAAATAAAACTGATCTATAGAAAAATATATTAAAAACAATATTTGTAAAACGTTCCAATCACAAGAAAAAAATTTATTTATATAGGCTATAATATGTTCACTTTATTCGTGGAATATTCTTACATCTTCAATAGAGCTATTGAACAAATAATGTGACTGAAGCCTGAAGGATGGAATAATTAGTTTGTAAAACTCTGATCCAACAACGATAGTATAATCTCTTTTTATTGGAAGTATTTTTGAATATTTAAATATTATAAATCTTTACTACTATTGTAATAAAGTTATTTTCTTAAAAATTAAAGTAGGTATAAAAAATAACTTACCATTATTTACAAACTAAAGTTCTCAATATTTTTATAATATGTTAATATTACAATTTCATAAAAATATGTATATTAATGTTATTTAATTACTAAACAGTAAAAATATCAGTATCTATTTATTTTTTTTAATGTAGGTAGTTTACTACCTCCATTAAAAAAATCTGTTCATTAAATATAGTACAGTAAGCTTATAGTTCGGTTAAACATTATCAGTATTAGGTATTAATGAATCTGTAGATCGTTTTTTTCTAAAAAACTAGTTTTCACTGTGATAAATTTCTATCAGTTGTTTTTAAATTTTTAACGAAAAAAGCTTTGGAATTCATTTAGCATTTGTGCAAAATTGAGTTTTAAATTTTGAGGAAGGGAGTTGTAATTTGTTTAATTTACGCCCTATTATTTAACTTAAAAAAAAAAAAAAAACCAAGCATTTTCCTTATGTAATTTATTAAACAGTTGATAGTTTGATACAATTAAAATAGTTTTATTCTGCAGTAGATACCTATAATTATTATAATATAGCTATTGTTACATTTATCGACTCCATCCAGTAGACGATTTATTACAAAATATCTTATCATTGCTATTATTATTCTAAGAATCTCATCAATAATTATTAATTTATATTTTGTAAACACCAACATTATTACATGACCTTCACATTTTGTATAAGCATTATTTATTATTTAAACAAATGGTTTGTAAATAGTAATAATTAATAATGCATAGGTACCTAATGTATTAAATTCCACAAAATCTAGAAAAATGCATTAAAAACATTTATAAAAGCATTCTAATTTCAAAATTATATTAAAGTATGTAGGTACCTATACTTAAGAATTGATTTAAAAATATTTCTTATTGATTTATTATAAACAATACTACCTATAGGCTATAATGTAGATAGGTATATAACGTGTGAAAAATGCATAACACAAAAACTAAACAAATAAAAATAATTCATAAAATATATGTAACCTTTAAATGTTTTAATTGATGGAAATTATTAAAAATATTGAAAAAAATAATCATAAAACATTATCTAATAAATCAAAAATGCCAAAAATTGATAGATTAAAGTTTAAAAATTGAATTGATTACCTAGTTCTTAATTCAACAATAAATATTATTTTATAGAATTAAAAATAATTTCTGAGTAGAGATGGTCTGTCAGCCTATATTATTAAGTATACTTGATGGCATATTTATATTCCTATTAAAATAATCAATCTTATTATTAGTTGTAAGATTGAATTCATTTTTAAAATCACATGCATTAAATAAATAGTAACTCTATCTACTAGATTAATAGTTAAAATACACATAAAATAGTTTTACTTAACAGATTTAAACTCATAAGTTAATGTTATACTGTTAATGTACACAGAACCGTATGAATTGGTTTATGGTGTAAATAGCTTAAAATTAATCTAATTTTTTTTTTGAAAATGCTATTGTCTTAAGTAATTAATAACAATATTTATAGTGGTGATAAATTTCAAGTCTTTGCAAATTATGTTTTTGAATTATAATAAAATAATAATTTTTCATTTAAATATCAAATTTTGAAATTGAAATATCAATAACAAAATTGTGTACAAGTGTTTTTAAGCTTTGAAAGTTCCTGAAGAATAAAATATAGGTAACTTTATACTAAATTTTCATTGAAGCTCTGCTTAAAATCTAAAATACTAAGTGATTATATGTCATTAATTCAATAATTATTATCTTAAATTTTAAGTATAAAGATAGGACACAAAAATTTTAAAATATTTTTTATTTTTTATTATTAAATGCTTTATTGATCTTAAAGACAATTTCATAATTCATTATCAACAAACTTCATTCAAAAATAATAATAAAATTAATATTTTATAAAGTAAAATTTAATCATGGAGTAAGTCTTTTCGGATCACGAGGAAACATTGATACTTTTCTTATGTTGTCTAAGCCCAAGTACAACATGACTACTCTCTCTAACCCAATTCCACCACCAGCATGAGGTGGACATCCATAACGGAAAGCATCTATATAAGCTGAAATCTTCTCAATATCTAAACAAATAATATTATATCAATAATAAACTTGAAAAAAATATTATTTATTCATAGACCAACATAATTCTATAATAAACATACCAATTTGATGATGTTTAGCTCTTTCTATTAAGTAATCAGAATCATGTATCCTCTGAGCACCAGATAAAATTTCTTCACCTCTCATAAACATATCATAAGAATTAGAAGCCACCTATTAAGAATAAAAATAGTAAATCAATTAAAAAATTTAAAAAGTTAGAGCATAATACTATAAATTACTTTTGAATCAGGATCTGGCATGGTGTAAAAAGGTCGAATAGCAAGAGGAAACTTATCCAAAATGTAGAAATCTGTATCATACTATATAAACAAATATAATAATAAGTGAAAAAAAAAAATTAAATTTAGCAAAAATGTTGGTTATACTTTTGCTTTGACTAAACGTCCAAGTAATTTTTCATTTGGCGTTGATAAATCATCTTCATCACCCATTTCAACTCCAGCCTCGCGAAGCATATTAACAGCAGTTGGAAATTCAAGTTTTAAAGGTGGATCCAAAAATTTAAATGGTTCTACTGGGTATTGTTCGCAAATGGTTTTAATTTCAGATTGATAACTATACAATAAAAATATATTTGTAGTAATATTTTATAAAATTTTTAAATGTATAGTACATTCAAAATAATATTAAAAAAAAAAAAAAAGAATATTTCAGACAAGTTTTAAAAACTTGATATAAAGTAAAATCTGTGTTTAATAATATTTACAATCTACATAGATACTTTTTTGGGTTTTTAATTGGTCTAAACCTTGCATATAATAAAGAAAAATATGAAACTATTGAATCAATTCTTTTATCTTTTGGTATTAACAAATATAAAAAAACAATATACATCTTGCCTTAAAGGTACATTTTTATTTGTAAAAATGTAAAAGATCATTAAAGAATTGTATATCGTAAGCTTAAAATTATTAGAATTTATTGTTCAAGTTTGATAATTAAAAATTGATTTTTTATATTACTATAATATATTTAATATCTTTTATAATAACTGAGAAAATTCGGAATAATGCCATAAAAAAATATGAAGAGAAGACCATTCAGTAATAGAACTCAAGAATTTAAAATTTAGATTTTTTCCATATTTTATCCTAGAAGGTCTCTAGCACCATTTATTTTTAGTTGACAGATAATTTGTAGCAATGAAAGATGTGACATACATTTAATTAACAGATTTTTATGCTTTATTAATGTATAATACAATTTTTCATAGTGTCTTTTTGCAATTTGCTTACAGTTTTAAATTGTTAATTATTATGGTGGATTATAATTTTTATGTATTTGTTATGCATCACATAGTACCTGTGATAAATCTTCTATTTAACAGAGTTAAACAAGAGGATTAAACAGAGTGAATGTGTTAAGGTGAACTCCAGTCTTAATATTCTAGACAATTAAATATTCTAATTTCAATACATATTTTTAAGTA